GATTTATATCTAGTCTTTATACTCCTTTTTTTTATTGTTTGATCATGTATAATTTTATTAATAAAATAATAAATAAAAATGAATTTCAAAATAATTAAAAAATTAAAAAATTAAAATTTTTTATTACTCATCATTAGCAGGATTTTTTTGTTATTTGTAATCAAGACAAGATTATCACTCTCTTTATTATTACCTATCGTGTAAAAGATTTATAAAAGAATAAATATTCTTATTGTTGTTGATATGGAATTTCAGCATTATTTTTAGTATCAAATTTGAATTATATCAAGCAAATTGGAATGCAAAAAAAATAAAAATAAAAAAGAAACTAGAAACAACACATTGTGAATAAACTAGATGATGATAAAATACATCATCAAATAATCTGGAAATTGGAAAATGCTGTTAATAAATCATTGAAGACAATAATTTAGGTTCAACAATATTTATGTTCGCAGAAAATTAATTGGAATTAATACTAACATTCACTTGTGGCAACGGAAAGTTAAAGTCTGTAGCCTTTATTTAATAAATAAAAAAAATGGTGTGTTGCTGAATATTTCGAAGAAATGGTTTACTATTACTATTGATTTACCACCCGTAAAAGAATCAAATCATTAGGCGGATTCACAATTCCACGTATTTCTAAAGCACTTGAAGTTGCTAGAACTACTGTAGTTAGAATGATAAAAGACTTCCAGAAGAAGTTGGGTGGCTTCTGAGCCAAAAATGGTCCAACTAAAGAGTTACACATAAGAGGGCGGTGATTGTTTCACGCGTTTCTATTGTAAAGCCTCCATATAGGTTCATTTTTATATCTTTATAATTTCCTTTTTGAACAATGAATGAATTTGACAAAATGTGTTTTTTAATTATAAAATTTTTCGAACTATAATGTAGTCGTGACGTGAAAAAAAATTATATTTTGTTATAAAACTAATTTATGAAAAAAAAAAAAAATATATAAATATTACTCTAATTTAAATTGAAAATTTAATCTTATTCTCTAATAAATGAACTTTAATATTGTTATTTCTAATATTGAAATTATTAATTGCAAGTACTATTAAGATTATGAAAACAATAAGGTTCGTTATTATTACAGTTGTATCTTTGATAAAATACAAGCTTATCTACAGTGTTATTAAAATTTCTACAATCATGGCCTATTGCTTGTCCATAATTTTTGAACTCTATACTTAATATTGAATTATTTAATTGATTTTTATCAATATTAAAGAAAACTTTTTATCTGTGTGAATAAAATACTCTTCATCCGGGGAATTTTTATTCCAAAAAGGTGGGTTATAATCTATCTGCTCCTTTAACTATATGTGTTCAATATCCCCACAAAATTTAGCCTAGAAAGTCTATATCCTGTGTCCCTTGAAAGATCAAAATTAAATTCATGTTATTGAAAGAGTTCTTTTATATATAAAATTTTATCTTCCATCAGAAATCAATAAATTCATATTTGGACTTACTTTATTTTCCTTTTCCAAACCTTTTGATGTATTAATTTTGGTTGCCGTCTATTAAATAACATGATATTGAAGCAGTTCTTTATTCATCAAAAAAATTTTTTTTTAATTTGAATCTAATTAATGGAATAAACTCTTCTAATATAATTTTCAACTTCTTGAAATCACCCTTCCTTATTCTACTCTGAAATGTCTTTTTCTAATTCATTAAAATTTTATTCATCGCATGTTTCAAGATTTCGTTCGCGTACAGGTTATTTATATTAATAATTTCATTGTACATATTTCTTTTATAAAATATAAATGATAAATTAGAAAATCGTTTATATTTGATATTTTAAGAAAAAATTAATTATTATTTTTAATCTTACATTAAAAAAACTTTGAATATTGTTCAGATCAACTATTAGATAAAGTTTGCTTTAAAAATACGAGAATCCTACTTTAAAATGATATAGCTAAAATTTTAACGACATGGTCTGCACAACTTTAACCCAAGAATTTGTTAATGGAATTAGCACCTTGGAATATGTATACTTGAAATTTAAATTCACGCGTGAAATTCAAAATTAGCCAATCAGAATTTTATATCCCATCCTGTCCAAAAATTTTAACACGACATGTATGCTGCAATTTTTCGAGTACCTTTTCTTTACTATTATTATTAGATCCAATTTTTATCAATTAATAAGTCGGCAATTAGTATTTTGCTAATGAATTTTGCATTCAAATTCGTTAACAAAAATGAGTAAAATCCAGAGCATTCAATGAGCTATCGTTACTTGTATAATAACTTGTAAAGATTTTTGATTTAGCAATTTCCTCATCTAATATTCTACTTTTATGGTATGCGTCTGGGTGTGCTCGTTGTACTTGTTTTGAACTACCACCACCACCACCACCATCATTATTAAAATTGGCTTCATGTTTTTTAATTTTAGAAAATTTGAATAATCTTTTCACTAAACTATTGTTATTATGTAAACTTTTATTTTTAAGGATTTCTTTGTGTTTATTAACAGCAAATTCCCAAAGCTCCCTGATAGTTGGCCTCTTTGATGGATCCACATCCCAACACTTTTGCATCATTCGTGCGTAATCATCAGGCATTTCAGTTAATATTGGTGGTCTTAAGCCTTCACATATATCAAAAATTAAGCGATGACTATGAGCTCTATCATCAAATGGTGGATGGCCTGCAAATATTTCCCACATTAACATCCCAACGCTATAGATATCTGTTTCTTTTGTGTTTTTTGTGTTGATTTTGCCTCTAAGTAGCTCAGGTGCAACATATGATACAATTCCATAAATTTTATCAGATGACTTTTCATCAACTGGTCCACATAATCCCAAATCAGTAATATAACAACTGCCTCCTTCTAATAATATATTACCACTATGTAAATCACAATGGATTAAATCTTTTTCATGTATATCATTTAATGCATCACATAAATATCTAAAGATTGTAATTCTGTCTTTTAATGTTAAATTTAAATGATTTCGTAAATAATCCCTTAAATTTCCTTCTGGTACATAATTTAAAACCATTGCATAATTTCCATTATCTGGGAATTTAGTTATACCATAGCAAGTAACAATTAAATTTGACTTAATTTTACAATAATTAATTGCCTGAAATAAATATAAAATCAATTAGTATTATATATTATTTTGCTTTAAATAACAACTACCAACCTCATCAAAAAAGCCTTTTCCTGGATTACTTGAATTATTTAAACTTTTTAATACTATATCTTGTTTTCCAAAATAAATAAATTCTTTTTTATTTTCATTGTAATCAATTATATAACCTCTTGTCCACACTGCAGTATAAATTGAACTAAACCCACCTTCTGTCAATTTTGTTACTTTTATAAATTGCTCAAAAGGTATCCATTCTAAAATATGATTTGGCAGAGATGATGTCTTTTGACATTTTTGAATAAAGTTATCAATTACATCATTTCCAGATGTCCAAGTGGTGAAAAGACTCTGTAATTGTAAACTAATACAACCTTCACAGAATCTATCAGAGTATCTTGTCAATTTGCACTTGTTACATTGTTTTGATTTTCCCAATTTATATGTTGCATTCTGTAATTCAAAATCATAAATAAATATTTCTTCAAAAAATTCTTTTTCATTTTCAGAAAGCTCCTTGTTTTTTTCGACCAATGAAAAAAAATAATCTTTTCTACTTTCTTTATCAGAATTAACATTAGCATTACTAAGTATTCCAGCATAAATTTTTAATAGAAATCTTTTTCTTTCTATATAGTGATAACGATGATAATCGGTTAACATGTGACATTATATAAAAATGTAAAATATAAATTCGTTTAGTGGAGTTTTTTTTTTTGAGAATAACACAAAAGTGTTACGGTCCTTTCTAAATGTCGTATATTTTTACATTTTGTGTGCCCAAGTTTTGGAAATGTTGTAAATGAGGACTCGTTAAGACTTGAAATGGTAGATTCAGCGCAGTTACGGTAATAACAAATCACGAATCTTCTAAACATTTTGTTGCTCAACTTTAGTAAACTGAACTGTTGGGGAAAAATCAAAGGATAATGAGTCTTTTTTTTTTTTTTGCTATGTTGGTTTGAAAATATTTTTGTTTTCCGAAAACGATAAATGGTTGTGGTTATTTTTACATTGTCGTATCATGCGAATTCCCATTGCTATCTATTTGGCAACTGAAAAATTTATCAAAATGTCAGGGTTGAAATGAAATCGTGTTTCACTTTAGATTTTTTTTTTTTTTTTTTGCAGTGTCTATCGTTGTCTACTAGTATTTTTCGTCTTGTTCTGACGTTTCGGACCGTTCAAAATGACCAAAACTTATGATCTTCCTTGGAGCCTTTACATCAGATCCCAAATAATCAGAGAGTTGTCACAAAACATATATTAATGCCAGTCTTAGTATATTTCGAGTCTGGGATTCAAAAACACTTTTTTTACATTTTATTTTGTTGTGATCGGTCAATTCAACGAACAATATGTAAAAATTTTATTTTTAATTTCCTTTCGGAGAAAGTAAATAAAATCCATCGATTAATCTTTACAAAAAACATAGTTGATTTTTTTTAACAATCGAAATTTGTAAATAAAATTTTGATATTTGCATGTAGCTTATTCTTCTATGGCAATAGACTTGGGAAAAAAAATCTAATTGATCCAATTAACCTTTAATTTGGGATAAATAAATAAACACAATGAAAAGATCAATACAAAGGATTTAATTAAGAAAAAAAAGCTTTTCAACTTCCATTGGTTAGTTGGACATTTTAATATATTTGAAAAAATTAAACAAGTTCAATTAAATTAAATCAAATAAAATTAATTTTTTTAATAACAAGTCTGGTATTTATAATGACAATTTTTAAATTGACATGTGTGACAAATTTTAATTTATTTCGTGCACACATAATTATGGTGTGGACGCGAACAATGAAATGAATTTTTAGTTAAGATATATTATTAATATTTGACTATTCCCCTCCAATTAGAAAAATGAAACAACAACTTAATGTTGCTTTATTAGTAGCAGATACATCCATACCTAAAGTATTGGAAAATTATAGAGATTATTATGTACAATTTACAAAATTTTTGAATGATTCAATAAACTTTGAAAATAAAAATGAACACTATTTAATAAATTTAAAGAAATTTGATGTTGTGAATGAAATGAACTATCCAAGTGATAAAGAATTAAAAGAAGATATTGATGTTATAATAATTACAGGCTCTTGTAAGAATTTTGGTAATAATAATTTAATATATATTTCCCTAGTGTGATCAATAATGTTTTTTTTAGCCTTTTCTGTTTACAAAGATGTTCCTTGGATTCATAAACTTGACAATTTCATTTCTTTAATTTATAATAGTTATTGTAAAGTTAAATTAGTTAGAATTTGTTTTGGTCATCAGATTATTGCTAAAGCTTTAGGCGGAAAAACTCTAAAAAATCAATTGGGATGGGAGGTATTGTTGTATTTATTATTTATTTAATTTTCAAAAAAATTTGTTATTCTAATAATGATTATAAATAGGTTACTGTCACTAATAAAACTAATAAAAAAGTTTTGGTAATAAATTTCAAAATTATTCTCACAGTTAATTCATTGTTATTCACACATATACACTCACACACATATATTTTATATATATAATTTATTTTAAAACATCTTCAAGAAATGCATCAGGTAATAAATTATTAATTTATATAATTTACATAATTTACACAATTTATTTACTTGTTCACACATTCATGATTTATTGTGACAGGAACATGTAACAAAAAATGCCATCAAATTTTATCAATTGGGGAAGTACAGATGTATCAAATACAAGGAATGTTTAAAGAAGAACATGTCTTGACTGTTCAAGCTCATCCTGAATTTGTTAGTGGAAAAGGTGAAGGAAATAATTAAAAATCATTTGGAAAAGAAAATTTATACAAAAGAATTTGCAGATCAAAAAATCAACAGATTTAAAAGTTGATAATATATGGTTAGGAAAGAAGATTATAGAAATTTATGTATGGTAAATAATAAAATCTATATAATAAAATATTTTTATTTTTATTTATATTAATTATTGTATTATAATTTGATAATAGATGAAATTCAAGATGGTGAAGATGAATGATTATTATTTTGAAATTCTATTCTTTGAAAAATTCCTTCCAAATAAAAAAAATGAGTTATTTTATTTTTCATCAATTTTAGCCAAAAGTTCTGAATCACGAAAAATTGTATATTCCTATTATACAAAAAAAATTTTTTTTGTTAATATATATAATATATATATAATGATAATGACTAGATGAAGTTTAATTAACTATCAATATAAAATTACATCATCTCCAACTTTGATCACGCCTCCACCGTATGAAGGAAGAAGAACACGATCACCAGGTTTTACTTGATTTGGAATGTGTTTTCCATCCTAATCACGTGATTCAAAAATATTAATGAATAAAATCGCAATGTGAAAAAGTAAAGTATGTATTTTTATTTTTTATACCTTATCTAAGGCACCTTTACCGGTGGCAATAACTTGACCTTCGTTAAGAGCTTCTAAAGCCTTTTCAGGAATTAATATCCCAGCAGCTGTTTTCTTTTATTATTTTGAGATATAATATGATGTGTAAATTTCATCATCATTATATTGAATAAATGTTTCTTTTTTTTTTCAACAATTAAATTTATTTATCTTACCTGCTGAGATTTAATACGTTGAACAAGTACTCTGTCAAGAAGTGGAACAATTGATTTTACATTTCTTGTTGCAGTTGCCTAAATTAAAAGTAGACAATATAAATATTAAAAAAACGTAATATTAATATATATATATATATATATAACATTATGCGTACCATTTTATTTAATTTTTTTTTGTAATGTTAACAGCAAAAAAAAAATTTTTTATTTCTAAAAAAATTTCTCGAGATTATATTTTATTTTTTCGTGTTGTGATACAATTATGAACTTCTTTCGTCTTTAAAATTTTTTTATCATGGAAATTGATGGAAAGATTTTAGCTACCAATCAAATTTAAATCAATTTTTTCTTAATATATTGATTGATAGGAAAAAAAATTATTTCTTAAAATTCATCTAAAAAAATTTATCTAAACCTAAATTTAATAAAATGTATTGTGTTCCAAAACTTTTTAACAATAAATTTGCTATTTCCACATCAACATCAAAAATTACTCATAAACTGATAAACAATTTATCAAAAGACTTTATCATTAATAACAAATCATCATTATCGCCTTTATCAAGATATTATGTTACTCATAAAGAACTAAAATTTGGTGTGGAAGGCCGTGCTTCTTTATTAAATGGTGTGGACATACTTTCTAAAGCTGTAGCTGTAACACTTGGTCCCAAAGGAAGAAATGTTTTAATCGAACAACCTTTTGGTAGTCCAAAAATTACAAAGGATGGAGTGACTGT